CGGTCCTTTTCACTTTTCTTCGTAGGAATTGCCGCTTATCGGTGTTTCGCGGCGCCATTCGGCTATGGCGTCGCGCGTTACAAAGGCGAGCGCCGATGACAGGCTGCTAGATTTTATAAACACTAGACGGCATAAGCGCGGCAACGCGACTCAATTTCTATGGGTATCGACGAACGTCGATGACAGAATTTATAAACGAATATCATCTCGCACTGAGGATGGCCGAGCATCGATGGTCGCGCGACGTAGGTACTCGACCAAAATTTTATGCGACTTAACCGTCGCGGTCTCTCCTCTTTATTTTTCTGTATAGGAGAACTATCTAAGAGAAAGGGAATAGATAATTATTTAATATTTATTTATTTATTTTAAGAAAATTTCTAAAAAAACTCCGAGATATACGGGGTAAAAAAAGGGAAATAATAAAACGCCGGAAAAAAGTTAGGTATAGGGAAGGACATGCACGCAAAAGAAAAATACATCGTTCGTTTTAGGGTGTAAGAAAAGCCTGTTTATTTAACTCTTCTTTTACATAATATATCTTACGTGCTAAAAACTAAAGCTGCGAGCTCACAATCGATGATCTGATTCGTATTGAACGCATCTCTAGCGTATATTACATTCGACGCTTCTTTGGGATCCTTTGCAGTGGACGCGATATCGGAGAACTGCGCAAACTTTGCATCGACCGTCGCAAGTATTCTGATCAAATGATTGAATCTCGCATCGATGCACCGATCGAGATCGAACATACGATGCAACGTCGATTCGGTCATTCTCAAGCATACGTTTGCAGATTCGAGACGTATGAGTTTGATGTTATTAACCGTACAAACTCTCACCGTTAGCGGTCCAACGTTTATAAAACTATGGATATCTTTGAAGTCATTGCGAAAGAAATTCTGAATATTTTGCCGTTGCTCGTATAGCGCCTTCCACGTTTCGAGAGACAACAGCAGTTCCTTTCCTCGGCGAGGATCTCCAATGGCGATCTCCACGTAGCTCGGTGGACCCACGTTGATACCAATTTCGAGGAATTTGTATTCCGTAGCTGTCAGCGCGTATCGTCTGCTGAGTATACGAACCGCGCGACGATCCAACGAAATGCTGTAGAAAAAAATAATGAGATTACTTTCAAAATAATACAATTCGCAAAAAAGATATAAAAAAATATAAAGCTCTATAAATTATACAAAACTTACTTGTTTTCACACGTTGGAGTTTCAACATCGGGAATCGGCACGTAATAATTCATACGTCTGCTGCCGCTGTTGCCGCCGTTGCTTCCTCCAACGGAATACATTTTTTCTCTCGGTTATGAGAAGCGGACCGTTCGCACAAGCAGCCGATACGAGACTAGTCGTATAAAATTAATCGAGTATACGCGACAGCACCCACTATAACCCTTCCAAAACTATGATGAAGGAGGGGGAAATTAATGTTTCTGTAACGTGCAATCAGCGCTCTGAATTTTAGGAGAGGGGACTAAGGTAGGATGTTTTTTCTTTATTAAGACGTATACCCCCCCTCCCCCTCTTCCCTCCGCATGACATCAACCGCAAAACATGTTCAGACATGTTCGTCTAAAACTGATACCCCATTCCCCCTCCTCGAAGCTCTCGAGTTAGAATTCGTCACGTATACCTACTTATTCTTTAATTTTGTACACTATTGATTAAAGGGAAAAGAAATAAAACATTGAAAAATTTACACATACGTATAAAATTTATTTTTAAAAAGATGACAATTCTCTCTGGCGTCGCGACCACCAGTTAAATATTTTTAATACATTTTGCAATGCGCAATTTTTAATGTGTTTTCCACATCGCACAGTATTGGTAACATCTAGATTATTTAAAGATTCGATATCTTCGTAATCCGCATCCAGAGTCTCGATGTTTAGGTTTTTTCTCGCTTTACTCTCAAGCAGATCTACCAGCCATTCTCGTTTCTGACATCCCTTGACGTACACGAGAGTCGGCATCTCGTCGTCGTCGTCGTCGTTGTCCTCTTCCTCACCGAGCACCGCTGATGTAATTAAACGCTTCACCTTGCTGTACGACACGTTTCCGTCTTCCCATCGTAATCCATGGTGATTGCGAATCAACCAGGAAGCGCACGATTTGTCGGATTTTGTGAGGAGATTCCACGGCATGGGGCATGTAAAGATGTAATGCGCCAGAACGACCCCGTTTCTCAGCACCGCCACCTCCTTCACGACAAACTTCATCCCGACGACGAAACCTTGCAGGTCGACGAACGTTGGTGCAAACATGAAGAAATATCTCTCTTTCTTCGATGCGTGAATCGAGAGGAATGACGCGCGTTTCGCGACACTCTGATTTTTATATCCTGCTCCCCTCTTTTTCCCCTCTCATAAATTTGTATCGGGAGTTAAAGAGAGAAAAAATTTTCGTCGACGTTGCCGCGAACACTCAGACTATTTTGCGCACTACGTTGGTCAACGGATTGTACTCGATCACGCGATCGTGTATGATGAGACAGTACGCAGAGGTATTCGGCGGTACGTTCTCCATGCAATCGAATTCTAGTCTGACATCCACGGTGGCGTTTTTGACGGATTCGTTTTGTCGAGAGCAATCAATGATCACGAACGGGCCGTTACGTAGAAAAGTTGAAACGGTGAGACTCGGCTCGAGATATTCGTATCCGTAATAGCCCTTGCAGAAACGCGCGTACATATCGTACAGAATCGCCCATCTGTGTTT